GTGTTAGAGACATGATGGAGGTGTGTTAGAGACATGATGGAGGTGTGTTAGAGACATGATGGAGGTGTGTTAGAGATATGATGGAGGGATGTTTGAGATATGATGGAGGCATGTTAGAGATATGATGGAGGCATGTTAGAGATATGATGGAGGCATGTTAGAGATATGATGGAGGGATGTTAGAGATATGATGGAGGCATATCTGAGGCATGATGAAGCATGTTAGAGATATGATGGAGGTGTTTCTGAGATATGATGGAGGCATGTTAAAGGTATGATGGAGGTGTGTTAGAGACATGATGGAGGTGTGTTAGAGACATGATGAAGGCGTGTCTGAGGCATCATGGAGGAACGTCTGAGGCATGATGAAGCATGTTAGAGATATGATGGAGGTGTTTCTGAGATATGATGGAGGCATTTTAGAGATATGATGGAGGTGTGTTAGAGACATGATGGAGGTGTGTTAGAGACATGATGGAGGTGTGTTAGAGACATGATGAAGGCGTGTTAGAGATATGATGGAGGTGTTTCTGAGATATGATGGAGGCATTTTAGAGATATGATGGAGGTGTGTTAGAGACATGATGGAGGAATGTCTGAGGCATGTTACAGACAAAGGTGCCTTACGGAGCCCTACTTTCCATGGTTGAAGGTGACGGTGCAGTTGGGCCAGCAGTCGTGGTTCACCAGGCTCAGACTTGGAAACAGACCCAGACCAACGTTCTGCTGACCCCTTTGGTCGGTCAGAGGAAGTCCGTTACATTTGATCTGAAACAGAAGATCCATCACTTCCTGCAGCTTCATTAACTTCATGTCCTGAAATCATCCATTAAGGAAACACCAACCAGACCAAAGATGTGACTGATGTACCCCTCAGAGTGCTGCTTGGCTGCACCAGACCAGTACTTCAGCAGGTGGTCCACATCCCTCTGGACCTTCTTCAGTTCTTCTTCAGGCAGGCGGTCCAGATGATCCTCCAGCTGGTCTGCAGGAACTAACTGACTGTCTGAGGCCAAACCCTGGTCCTTCTTCCTGCGCCACATCAGCCGAGCTGCCAGGCTGCACACAGAGTCGGGTCAGGAGGGCCAGAGCTTCAACGTGACCAGAACCAGTTCTGCTCTTACCGGACATTCTGGTTGGGGGCATAGCCCAAACTCCTGATGGCCGCACACTCCTGCTTGTGCTCCTCCCAGCATGCACTTTGGCAGGTGCGGTCACAGTAGTGGGCGAAACGGCACTGAGCGCACAGGTGCAGCTTTGACTGCCGGCGGAAACAGCTGTGGCACACCTGATAGACCAGACTGAGGGAAAAATACTACAGATCAGACCAGACTGAGGGAAAAATACTACAGATCAGACCAGACTGAGGGAAAAATACTACAGATCAGACCAGACTGAGGGAAAAATACTACAGATCAGACTGAGGGAAAAATACTACATCAGTGGTGGTAGGATGGAGCGGGAGATGATCGATGGATTGGGGTCTCCTCCTCAGTAATGAGGGTGTTGCTTCGGTCAGTCATGGTGAAGGAGGAGCTGAGTCAAAGACCAAGTTCTGGATTTACTGATCTGTCTTCGTTCCAACCCTCACCTGTGGTCCTGAGGTGTGTATCAGGACCCAAAGAACCAGATCCTGGGTCCAAGCGGCAGACATGAGCTTCCTCCATAGGGCTGAGCTCAGAGTAGAGCTGCTGCTCCTCCTCATCAAGAGGAGTCAGCTGAGGAGGTTCATCTGATCAGGAGCCACCTGGACGCCTCCCTTTAGAGGTGATCCACGTCCCACTGATAGGAGGACCTGGGACAGACCCAGGACAGACCCAGAACTGACCCAGGACTGACCTGGGACAGACCCAGGACAGACCTGGGACAGACCCAGGACAGACCTGGGACTGACTTGGGACCAACCAGGGACTCTCTGGAGGGGTTATAGATCCTCTCGGATCCAGTTCTTTGGTTCTTTTTGTTGAACCTTCATCACCACTAGATGTCCTCCAAAGTCCTTCTGTCCACCTGTCTCCTCCTGTCTCCTCCTGTCTCCACCTGTCTCCTCCTGTCTCCACCTGTCTCCTCCTGTCTCCACCTGTCTCCTCCTGTCTCCACCTGTCTCCTCCTGTCTCCACCTGTCTCCTCCTGTCTCCTCCTGTCTCCACC